TTTGCTATAGAAAGCAACCAAGAACGCCACAACTTTCATTCTTTAGACAACAATGCCAAACCACCAATCCAAAACCCCATCTTTGAAACCATCTTTAAGGGCTGGCTTTGATCATATGGCACCTGCCATTCCCTCCTCTTCAAAGCTTGAACAAATTGAGAGAGCAAGCGGTGGTCCCAAATTTTTTTGCGGGGGGAGCAAAAGGCATGTATATCAGATAAAACCAGGTTCCTTATGACGTCTCCTTTCTGTCTTTCATGGAAACGTGCCCCGTTTTTCACACTGCATCCCCAAACTCACCGCTCAAAGGCCAAATGCAGTTCTCAGCCCCCCAAAAGAACTCTGGGGGGCTGACTTAGAAGCATCTAGGTCTCTACAGCCAATGGTAAAGCCTCTCTAAACGAGGAGGTCAAAACCGCTTTGCGCCCACCTTAGGAGCGGACCTACCTGACTGCAGGAGTCCTGCTCCGACAAGCTCTTGGATGACCGGCGAAAGATCCGAGCTGATCTTCGCATATTCTATTTTGTCTGTTTTTATCCAGGCCAGCTTACGCTGGAAAAGCCTAACGTAGAGTTTCTGTCCGCTGGCTGCGATTGAATTGCAATGGGGGAGAGAAGAAAACACCTTTAAAAGGGGATCCCCAAAAGGTGGGACTGCATGGAAAACAACTGGACTTATGCCAGAGAACCTCACCTAGTAAGCGTGGCTGACCCAACACTTCTGACATGTGGCTCAGGGGCAATTCGATGGCAAGAAGCAATGCTGACTGGCAGACCACAGAAGGGCTGACAGGCTAAATGCAGAATCTTAAATATATCTACTCACAAGTAAATCCTAAGAAGGCTTCTGTCAACGTAAGGAGCAATGTGTAGACATATATAAAAAGGGGGGGATAAAAAGATACTAATAATAAAAATAAGAATGCACATTTCACCATATACATAGTCAATCTAAGGCTGAAAACCTGAAAACTGACTAGCTTTTACTTCTAACCCAAGGTAACTTGCAATCTCAGGATAACATATATGTCTGCCTCAACTTCTCCTACATCTGGACAAAGCGACTGACGAAGCTTGGTAGCAAAGGTGCGTGTTTTTTTAATGTTTCAAGATGAAAACTTTCTGCTTCTGTTTATCACGGCCTGCATCGGTTTAGTTTGAAATGAGACTTGTCCGCTGTGATCCATAAAGCTGTGAGCCATAAACTCACAACATGGGCTCAGACCAGCCATTGTTCCTACGCCAGATTCACCTCCATGGCTGGGTTCCAATGACTGAATTCAATCCCATGAATTGTTCAGAGCTGTTCGTGCAGCGCTGGGCGCAGTGTCTGATCAATGCTTATTTCGCTAATAGCTTTGGACCTGGATATCTGCAAGGCTGCAGAAAGAGTCTCGTCTCCTTCAACTTCAAAGAAAAGATCTTATCGGCGGGGACGCCTTCATTTATGAAACCTGTGCCCCCAAGAAAGGTACCCTGAGTAAACACCCACCAATTATTTTTCCTTCTTGCATCCAAATCTTTCTTCTCCCTCCACCCCCACAGCTAGAACAACAGAGACGTTCTCAAGAATTCCACATTTTCCCAGGAGGATGTGGTGCCTTTGAAGTCCTCTCCTTCCAAGTCAAAAACCCAGAAGTCCTGCTGATCTTGAAGGACACCAGCTGTTCTCGCTCTTCCCTTCGGAAAAAAACATTGCCAAGGGATGAAATGCTCTTCTGCACCCATGTATCATTTTGGATGAGTCTACCTACTGATCGCTGTTCCACCTTCGACTCAACAGCATGAGACTGTGCCAAACTAGGCGGGCTTACACACTTTAATTGCTCACGGGCCCACCGGTACCTATAAAAGTTGTCAGGGCCATTAATAAGACTAATAAACCAATTATTTTCTCATTTACAGAAGCGCCTCCTTGGAGGCTGTTCCTACTAATTATAGGAGGTTCCTGGGTATCTCCCCACCTCACTATTTAATCAGAATTGCATACTTACTAGGATGTTTAAAACACACTGGGGGGGTTAGGATTTCTCCCTCACAATAGAGATGTATTTTATTCTTAAAGAGTTTTGTATATTTGCAAGCCTCAAGTGTCTCCTAGCTGGTTGATAGATCTCTCTTCTGCAGATTTTGGCTATCTAAGATCTGGAATGTGGAGGATAAAGAAAGCATTAGTCCATATTAAAGAAAAGAACTTTTGAAGGGTAATAACATGCTAATTGCTTTCACTGTTGTAACTGATGCACACGTGCAAAACGGTGCACAAGTGCAAATGAAATAGCCAGGGTGTTTTCTTTGAAACAGAGTGGGGCTCATTACAGAGAACAAACCCCACTTCCCTCCAGCTTGCATAGCAGGTGGGCTTCCAAACAGCTGGGAGTGAAATGGAAATCATTGCTCCCACAGACTGAAAATGTCCTTGCCCAGCTCAGCCCAGCCTCTTTGCTGGATATTAATCAACAGCCCAGCATCAACACCTCAGAGCTGCATAAATCACAGTCTGTCTCTGAGCAGAATCCCACCAGTTAGGGAGCATGGATACTGTATGGAGAGCTCAACTCAACGTATTTACATCTGTACTCTGCAACTAAGCAGCTGTTTTCAGGAGACCCGTTCCTGTCACAGCATCGCGGGTAGGTTTAGCTGATAAATTAGACCAGTGTTTTTCAACCTTGGCCACTTTAAGAGGTGTGGACTTCAATTCCCAGAATTCCCCAGCCAGCATGGCTGGCTGGGGA